TATAGTCTTTGAGCATTAGGCGCTGAAGGGGACGGACAGACGGACAGACGGACAGACGGACGGACGGACAGACAGACAGGGCTCAATCGACTCGGCTATTGATGCTGATCAAGAATATATATACTTTATAGGGTCGGAAACGATTCCTTCTGGACGTTACACACATCCACTTTTACCACAAATCTAATATACCCCAATACTCATTTTGAGTATCGGGTATAAAAATACGTTGCTGCGAATCTGCCGACCGCTGAGCAAGCCCAGCAAACTCAAGCGGGCCCAAAAAGCAGGTTCGTTACAATGTATATAGGTATTCTTGTTAGTTTAGATATTTTTTATTTTTTATAAAGGATTGGAATCCTTTTTTTAAATTTTTGGGGAATATGGAGCTTAAAAATGCTTTTAAAAGCAGCTCAAGTCGACTCGTAGGTCCCCAAGATTATATTTTGGCTAGAGTGACCCCATTGCATCGTGATGGCCTCCCCGTGGTGTTCCCTGGGTACCAATTTAATGTATTAAATTGGGAGCTAATTCGAGCGGCGTTTACGTATAAAATATATTTTATAACTTACATTCATGTATGTAGATCATAAGCTCACGTATATACTGACTGAGTACCGGGTATAAAGTAGAGCCGCGGCCTTTGCCGCGGCTCACAACGTTCCCCCTCGTTTTCTTCTTAGTCCGATGGCCGTCAGCCATCGGGTGCTACAGGGGGACAAACGGATGACGGGTCGGCTCGCACAACTGTGAACTCGGAACTGAGGCGCAGCCGCTCCGGTTAGTAATACCCGGTGCTGTCTGCGTCTCACACACCGAGGGATGCATGGCCGGGGGGGTGCCCGGTCGCTAATATGCGGACTCTGGATACCTGCCGACCTCCAGTTTAAATCAGGCTTCCCGGGGCAAGCGGGCTATGCCTCGGGTGACCATCCCCTTCCCGCCTACTCGTGGGAATAACTATGCCAAATAATAATAAACATATAAAAACAAACAAAGCCGCAAAGGAGCTCGGTACTCCTCTTAAAGTACCGGAGGGACAAGCCAATCCCTCTGCACTGAGTCGGTCCACCGTCTTCAGGCAGCAGCCGCAACGAGGGGGGGCCCGAAAAGCCAATCGGGTCCTTCCAAGTCGGGTGGCTCCAAGGGCGAAGCGGATACCGGGGTGGCTGCCAAGCAGAGCGTAATCGCGGCTGGTAAGCGCACCGGGACCGAAGAACCCTTGGGAGCCCCGGCGGGCAGCGTCTCTGCACCACGGGGAGGAAAGCCGTCGTACCAGGCCAGGAGACGAGCGGCCTTCATCCTGTCCAACGAAGACCCGAATTTCAAGGCGTCAGCCGAAGGAAAGGAGCAGAGGCTGTGGGCCTGCTCAATCCTTCCTCTGTTCCAGCCAGCCAAAGCCGGAAAGGGCGCAGCCAAAGCCCCCAACAAGCGGCAACGCTCAGCGGAGGACCCCGCAAATCAGCCAGGTCAAGCCCAGCAAGCCAAGCGAGTGAAGACCCACCTCACGAACCGGTCGTTCGCTGAGGTGGCGAGGGGCAAGACCCTGATCGGTGTCCTGGACAGGGGCGCCGAGGACGGCCATGTCCCCCGCGATAAGTGGCACCTGGTGGAGAACGAGCTCCAGGACCGGTTCCTGCTGGAACTGGAGGAGAACGGCGGACCACCGCCAAAGTGTGAGGACGCAGGGTGGCATCAAGGCAAGGTGAAAGCCATCGCCTGCCAAGACGCTCGCTCTGCGGCCCTTTACATGAAGGCGGTGGCGGCCCTAAAAGAGGTCTATCCAGGTCTACAGCCGATTGGAAGGTGGCAAAGGTGGAGGAAATCCAAGGGCAGAGGCGCCAGATTATCCTCGTCCTAAATGAGGAATCAATAGATCTCCTCGCAAAGTCGGACGGTGTAGTGGATTATGGCTATAAGAAGGTCACCATATCCACGTACAAGTCCGATCGCAAGGGCAGGCAGCGGAGGTCGAGCCAGACCCGGAGCTGCCGGAGATCCTGAAAGAGGGGGCCTCGTGCGAGGAAGATAACCCGGCGTCGGATGCGGCGTCCATGATGTCGGACGACATCCTGGACGACTACGCGTTCGACGAGAGCGACCTAGCCAGAGGTCTCAGCCATATCGTTGTCGGGGAGGAGCCGGAGTCCCCTGACAGCGATCCAGAAGTAACAATGGTGGAGGCGAGCCTCAGGAATGTCGTTGACGCTCCTGCAGATAAACCTCCACCATTGTAAGGCAGCATGCGCTGCTCTACTGCTCCACCTGGCCAAGGGTGGAGCCGACATAGTCCTCATTCAGGAGCCCTGGATCCTCGGAAACAGGGTCTCCGGTCTGAGGACTTCTGACTACAAGCTATATGTAGCTGAAACCGCAGGTAAAATTCGTACCTGCATTCTTGCAAAAAGAGAGTTGCACTTATTTTTGCTCCCAAATTTCAGCAATGAAGACCACACCGCACCGAAGGCCAGGAGCGCTCACTGAGGATCTGCTCCGCATACATGGGGCATGAACAACCAGACCCCCCTCCACACGCGCCTCTCCGGGCTCTAATCGCAGACTGCTCGGCCAAGGACATCGGCCTAATTGTGGGGTGTGATGCCAATGCACATCACTGTCAGTGGGGACACAAAGCCATTAACTGGCTCAAAATAATTTACGAGGTAATCTTCTCCCACGGGTGCATTCCTGACACCTGGCTTCAGACCAAAGTCGTATTCATACCCAAGGCAGGCAAGCCCTCGCACACTGCCCCAAAAGATTTCAGACCCATAAGTCTATCGTCTTTTCTTCTAAAGGCGATGGAGCGGCTCCTGGGGCTGCATCTAACGGCGTGCATTCCGTCCAGTCTGATCTCAGACTCCCAGCATGCCTATCGGAAGGGAAGATCCACCGAAACGGCCCTACACTCGATCACATCGATCATCGAAGCGTCCCTTAATTTTAAGGAGTACACCCTAGTAGCCTTCCTCGACATAGAAGGCGCCTTTAACAACATCCTTCCGACCGCCATCTCGGGCGCACTGACGGATCTGGGCGTTGACTCCAGGACGGTGAGCTTGATCGATCAGATGCTACAATGCAGGACGGTTGAGGCATCACTGGGGACGTCAACGTGTACCAGATTTGTCAGCAGAGGCACACCGCAGGGCGGAGTCCTCTCGCCCCTCCTATGGAACGTGGCAGTGAACACACTGCTGCGGGAGATAGAGGGGGGTGGCTGCCGCGTGGTGGCGTACGCGGACGATGTTGCCATAGTTTTCTCCGAAAAATTTCCGCAGACGTTGTGTGAGTGCATGACAAGTACTCTCACGAAAATGTCGAAATGGGCAGACAAATGCGGGTTAGGCGTCAACCCGTCTAAAACGGAACTGGTGCTTTTCACTAGGAAGTACAAAGTTCCGGCACTGATTCCCCCAAGACTATGTGGGGAAACGCTAGTCTTCAGCAACAACGCCAAGTATCTTGGCCTAATCCTCGATAGAAAGCTCGATTGGAAACTGAGCATAGAGGATAGAGTAAAGAAGGCCACAGTGGCCCTCTATACTTGCAGGAAAGCCATCGGACTAAAATGGGGAATGACCCCATATATAGTTCGGTGGCTCTACACCGCCATCATACGACCAATCATGCTCTATGGAGCGGTGGTATGGTGACCAGCCTTGGACAAAAGGACAGGCCTCAATAAACTCAGCAGAGTTCAACGCATGGCAGAGCTATGCATAACTGGCGGGCTACGCACTACTCCAGGGGAAGCCCTGGATACTGTGCTGGACCTCCTCCCGGTTGATCTCATGGGAAAGAAGGTGGCAACACTTTCCGCCCTCCGAATGAGAGAAGCCAGACTGTGGAAAGCATCCGCGGTTGGGCACTCGGGAATCCTGATGAGACTCCCGCAATTACCAGAGAGGACAGATTACTGTATCCCCAGTGATCACCTCTCGACGCCCTTCCAGGTATCAATCCCATCTAGGGAGGACTGGGAGATGGGCGAACCAGGGCCTGCAAATGCGGTCCACTTCTACACTGAGCGTGGGAGGCGGAGTCTACTGCAGCGAGCTGAACATCAGTCATTGCTTCAGGCTCCCGGATCACTGTAGTGTGTTCCAAGCGGAGGTTGAAGCCATCAAGGAGGCCATTTCGATCGTCTCCAAACTACTCCTAGATACGCACTTAGTGTGCGTCTTCTCGGACAGCCAAGCAGCTATCAAAGCTCTAGGCTCATTATCGTCGAACTCAGCGACTGTAAATGACTGCCGCAGGTCTCTGCACGAGATCGCAGAGCAGTTAGATCTCTTCCTTATATGGGTCCCCGGCCACAGGGACATCGAGGGGAATGACGCCGCCGACGAGCTAGCCAGGCAGGGTACTACGATTCCTCTCCTATCGGAGAGGGAGCAAGTAGCGATGCCCTTGGCTACGTGCAGCAGAGCACAGTGCTCTGCAGTTACTAGAGCCATTACGGGACACTGGCAGATCGGCACTCACGCCTCTAGACTGTCAATCCCTCATAACGACTTCTGCAGGAGTTGTCGCGACGAGGAGGAGGAGGAATCGGTCCCCCACTTCTTCTGCCACTGCCCAGCCCTTGGAAATCGTCGCCTTCGTATTCTCGGGGCCGCTTTCCTCACGGACATTTCGGACCTATCCGTAATCAAACCAGGGACCTTGTCCAAATACATCCAAGCCACCGGATGGGACTGCCCTTAACCTGCAGTAGTATGCTCTCACGGTTCGGGCAACGCGAAGGGGCACATGCCCATGCGGCAACACAACGGACCTGTTTATAGGTCCAAGTGAGCTTGGGGGCGGGAGGCTCTTATCCCCCCCCCCCCCCCCCCCCCACTCACGGCTTCCGCTTTAACCTAACCTAACCTAGTCCGCGTCGATCTTATGTGAATTTATTTTGATTTTACAGAATAGCGCTATGATTGCTATGCTATGATTTAAATTTATATTTTTGGCCCATTCGTTGATATTAGATAGATATCTTTGTGTATTCTAGTATCAAAATATAATCATTTTTAGTATCAAAATATAATCATTCTTAGTATCAAAATATAGAGTAAATAATGCAATGACTTCATTCGCTTCTTCATTCATCGACCAAAAATGTGCAACTATTGGATTGCGAATAGTTTTTAATTTCCGATATCTTTTCATGTCTTGTGGCATCCATGTCACTGCCCGGGAAACGTAGTGTCCTGCCCAGACGATTGTCGAGCCGTGTAGCATGTGGTGATATCAGCCGCCTAGAAAAGTTAAAATTTAAACAAACTTTACCACCACAACACCATTTATGCTTACACTGTGTTCGATGTACCGCAAACCGAAAGCAAACGTAAACCTCTGTGTACCAGCGCAGTCGCTGAACCTGAGCTCCGTTGTGATCGACGTAGAGATGGCAAAATCAACTGAAATGTTTCAAATGGTCCAAATTTTGATTTTTTTTTTTTCACTTTTTGCTTTTTGTATAAAAAAAATAATCACTTTATGCTTAAATCTAATGGAAGAAAAACGAAATAAATATTCCTCGAAATTTAGAATTTTTAAAATTTTATTTTTTTGTGTGTTTACTCCGCACGTTCCGGACTATACTGATATTTTTCCAGTATTCTCACACGACATCGAATTTGACATCTGGGGTTTTGTGGGGCATGGATTGCTTGCTTGTAAATAATATGAAACAATACAATATGGATCAACAAATGCCAAAGAAGTGGGTTAACTCGAAAAATTTGGCCACCATTCTGGTCTACCCGATGGAGTCCCTCGTGGATACGGTGGTGGAAGCGGATGTGCTCTGAGCTCTTTAAGAAACTTGAAGCGACTCCGATGCCAGTAAGGATCTGGTAATGCCCCGGCTTTTAATATAATTTACAGGTGAATTCTCACAGATAGGGGCTATGGGAATATTTTTCCAATCTTATTTTACTTTATCAATGATCTTTTAACTTTACTGATAATAGAAATAGGCTCACCCTTTCTTCCAGTAATTAATGAGAGTATAGGGGAACAGTCCCCTATATGGTATATTATTATACATTTTTATCATCATTAATGTGTGCTCTGTGGCCCAGTAATGAATATGTAAGTGCACTAGCCCTGGTTCTTGATAACATAACCGAATCTTATCATACAATGAAATGTGGTCGGGGCTATGTTTTCGGTACACACCGGTGGAAGTGCGACTACACTATCCCCGTGAGGCCGGCTGGAAACAGGTCCTGGCACGGTCATGTCTCTGCCAGGATGCTGGCGAATGGTAGTCGGGCGGAGAGAAGAAAACTCTCAGTGAAATTACCCCAATCCAAGGAGACACTGTTATATGCCGAGGGATGCATGGCCGGGGGGTGCCCGGTTTCCCGTTTTCGTCGGTTATATTCGTTTGGTGTCAGTAGGATCCAACTATCAATTAAGACAAAGTCATGCCTCGCAAATCAATTTAGCGTCGATCGTTGTCTGTGCATACGTATACACAACATCCATTCTTCAGAACTACAGCGGTGAAATTTTTCGTTTTCGCTTGTCACCATTGCTGTTCGTTGCTATTCTTGTGTGGTTTTCGTATACGCACCAGCCAAGCGACGATCTACCCTAAATTTGTCGGGTATATTGGTTTTCACCTCGTTTGGTGAGTCAATATTTTTCGTTGTGAAAAAGGTAGCCCCAATTTATGTGATTTCAAAAGTAAATCGGTAAACTTTGTAATAGTGATAATCGGAGCCTGGCTGAATAATTAATAAATATAAGTTTTTGATCCGCCGTGCAGTCCTCTTGGTCGTCAAAGCGCCAGGAGGCTGATATAGAGTCCTTGTTCATGTCACTATTCCTCGCCACTGGGGCCGCTGATAACACACCATCCCCGCTGTCTATGCGGGTGCGGGTATGCTATAGGCTATGTCAATGTCGAAGTGTCCAGAGCTGGACAAGAGGCTCACTTTGAGTCATTTGCCACCGAACGTTTGATGCTGTGACTTCTGCTTTCGATCTGGAAAAAGTTAAAGAATGATCAGGGGATCTGCTAATCCTCCTTACAAAGTTAATTTAATGCGTGATCGGGTCATAGTCCATGGCACGGCACATGTGTAATCATATTTAGGAATGCCAGAAATTCTTCAGTTACAAAGGTTCAGGGTTAACTGGTCCGAAAAGCGGGGGAAGAATATTTTCTGGGGGCCGACAATCGAGCTCCTCTTCGCTGCTCCTTACCTCTAGATCCATTCCCGAGTCGTTGAACAGCTGAGCGTGCTTTATTTAGCTTCATCGTGTCGACCTATTGAACAGATACGTCTGCAAGATGCGCGTCATGATTTTCCTTTAGTCCAGCTGTTTTCGTAATCAAAAGAGTATATCACATTTCTAAGGCAGTGAATCGATTTCTTTGAAATTTATGATTTTGAATCGTTTCTACAATATTTACATTTTGCTAATGGTAACGGCTACGGCTACTGTCCCCACTCGTTCCAAATGGGGGGCTGCAAGGCCCTTTCATTCAAATTCAAAATCCGCCTGCTGTGAAATTGCAGTGAAACAAGGTATGTTCGAATGTTCACCAAGGTATTGCCTGTTTTTTCCCATGAAAAGTACTGCTCATTTTTATACCCGATACTCAAAATGAGTATTGGGGTATATTAGATTTGTGGTGAAAGTGGATGTGTGTAACGTCCAGAAGGAATCGTTTCCGACCCCATAAAGTATATATATTCTTGATCAGCATCAATAGCCGAGTCGATTGAGCCCTGTCTGTCTGTCCGTCCGTCCGTCTGTCCGTCTGTCCGTCTGTCCGTCCCCTTCAGCGCCTAATGCTCAAAGACTATAAGAGCTAGAGCAACGATGTTTTGGATCCAGACTTCTGTGATATGTCACTGCTCCAAAAATATTTCAAAACTTTGCCCCGCCCACTTCCGCCCCCACAAAGGGCGAAAATCTGTGGCATCCACAATTTCGACGATACGAGAAAACCAAAAACGCAGAATCGTAGAAGATACCTATATCTTCTAGAGTGCGAAATCTGAACCAGATCGTATAATTATTACAGCCAGAATCACGAAAACAATTTCACTCTTTCTCGCTCTGTCTCACTCTAACACACAGGTTTCATGGTCGGTTTTGCCAATTGCAAAATATGAGTTCAAGGATCTCAGAACCTATAAAAGCCAGAGCAACCAAATTTGGTATCCACACTCCTGTGATATCGGACCTTGACCGTTTCCTGTCCAAATTTCGCCACACCCCCTTCCGCCCCCGCAAAGGACGAAAATCTGAGGCAACCACAAATCTCAGAGACTATTAAGGCTAGAGTAACCAAATTTGGTGCACACACTCCTTTAAGATGTCACTATAAAACGTATATCTCAGAATTTCGCCCCACCCCCATCCGCCCCCACAAAGGACGAAAATCTGTTGCATCCACAATATTGCAGATTTGAGAAAACTAAAAACGCAGAATCATAGATAATGACCATATCTATTAGATTGCTGAATCTGGATCAGATCAGATCATTTTTTTAGCCAAAAGGAACAAATCAATTTGCAGTGGCTACGCAGCGCCCGACGTCACGCTCAGACTGATTTTCTGTCTCTCTCGCACGCACTCTTTGTCGTGTCGTTAAATATTAGCGGCGTCTGCCGGAGGAGAGCCATACTGACTTAGTATCGGGTATAACCTTAGAGTTGCGGTGTCCGCAGCAACTCACAACGTTCCCCCTCGTTTTCGTTGCAGGGGAGAGCAGCAGTGTGACCGTCTAACCCTCCGAAATACCGCAAATATACCGATGAAAAACCAAACTTATCCCATTTAAGCGCCATTTATTTAAAAAATATAACAACTTGAGTTAAACCACTAACCACACTGTATGGTTAGTGTTTAATCCGCGGAAAATAATACTGTTTGTAAATTATTTTTGTAGATCCATCCTATCCTTCCCCTTTACTTGCAAAAAAAACCACGATATCTTCCACCATCTATGCTGAACTACTTCAGTGGAGTTTATTTTAGTACAAACTGGTCGATAATGGGTTAATCGTTCTCTGTCCAATCATATTCCTCGATTTTGACCGACACCCCTAAACACATAATTTTATCTGATTGATGAATAACTTTTCTACAAGATTGGCCAATTTTGAGGACGCCTTTCTATTGTATTGTTTATAAAATAATATTTAAGCAAAAAAGGTTAAAGCATAAAACGTAAATGAGCATAAAGTGAAACGTAAGTGAAATGTTACGCTTATTTACTTTAATTAGTATTAAAACTCTGTTTTCCAAGCTGATTTAAATCATTACTAATTCAATTTACTATTTCAAATAGAGACTGTTTCGGTAATATGTACTTGTAAAAACAATAATAAAATCTAAAATATGAATTCTTCAATGCTAAAAGAGATCTTAGTTGGTAAACATTCCCCGAATGTAAACAAAGTTCGGTTAAAATTCTCGACCAACGTCGTAAAAAGTCGCTCGATTTCTCGCTCCCCCCGCCGTCTAGCAAGGTGTATAGATCGCTCTCATCCTCCCACTCCCACTCTTCCTCACTATCTTCCTCCCACTCGTCCGCGCTGACTTCATATGACATTTTATAGTGGATAATCAAATACGGTTTATCAAGGTCAGTCATCTAAAACAAAGTACGGAAGCACAAATTGAGAGTTTAGGGATGTCAAAAAATTGTCAAAAACGAGTCAACGCAAAGACACAAAAAACTGAAACAAGCAATCCATGCCCCCAAAAACCCCAAATGTCAAATTCGATGTCATATGACACTGCTGAAAAAATATCAGTATAGTTCGGAGCGTCCGGAGTTAAACACACAAAAATAAAATTTAAATTTTTTAGAAATATTTATTTTGGATTAATTTATTCAAATAAGTTTAAGCATAAAGTGATTCGTTTTTTATACCCGGTACTCGAAGAGTATAGGGGTATATTAGATTTGTGGTGAAAATGGATGTGTGTAACGTCCAGAAGGAATCGTTTCCGACCCCATAAATTATATATATTCTTGATCAGCATCAATAGCAGAGTCGATTGAGCCATGTCTGTCTGTCCGTCCGTCCGTCTGTCCGTCTGTCCGTCCCCTTCAGCGCCTAATGCTCAAAGACTATAAGAGCTAGAGCAACGATGTTTTGGATCCAGACTTCTGTGATATGTCACTGCTCCAAAAATATTTCAAAACTTTGCCCCGCCCACTTCCGCCCCCACAAAGAGCGAAAATCTGTGGCATCCACAATTTTAAAGATACGAGAAAACTAAAAACGCAGAATCGTAGAAGATGACTATATCTTCTAGAGTGCAAAATCTGAACCAGATCGTATAATTATTACAGCCAGAATCAAGAAAACAATTTCACTCTTTCTCGCTCTGTCTCTCTCTAACACACAGGTTTCATGGTCGGTTTTGCCAATTGCAAAATATGAGTTCAAGGATCTCAGAACCTATAAGAGCCAGAGCAACCAAATTTGGTATCCACACTCCTGTGATATCGGACCTTGATAGTTTCGTGTCAAAATTGCGCCACACCCCCTTCCGCCTCCGCAAAGGACGAAAATCTGGGGCGTCCACAAATCTCTGAGACTATTAAGGTTAGAGCAGCCAAATTTGGTATCCACACTCCTGTTAGATCTCACTATAAAACGTA